GAAGTGAAAGAGAAAAAAGGATTGTGATAAGAAATACAACAGACATCAAAGGTAAGATAACCAGGAAAAGAAAGCAGAAGAAAAAGACAAGAAAGAATAATAAAGAAGAAGACGATGAAGATGAAGATGAAGATGAAGAAGAAGAAGAAGAAGAAGAAGAAGAAGAAGAAGAAGAAGAAGGAGAAGAAGAAGAAGAAGATGAAAATGAAGAAGAAGAAGAAGAAAAAGAAAATGAAGAAGAAGAAGAAGAAGAAGATGATGATGATAATGATAAAAAACAAAAAAAAACAAAACAAAAAAACAAAGAGGAAGAACAACTAACAAAAGAACAAGAACAAAGAACAGGCACAAGACGACCCACAGGATCCCGTAAAGTACCCCCTACCCACAAACCTACCTGATGGCTATAATATCCTTCTCCACCGCCGCGTTATCCACATGGCCAAGGAGATTCGGATACGACGTGACGTTGTGGTGCAGGATGGAACAGATGCTAACGTCCAGCCCCTGACAACGCCGCGGTGGCAGAGTGGTGGTGGCGATAGTTGTTGAGGTTGTCAGCTGGTTCCTGGAGGGCGTGACCTCGATCCTGGCTCCTCCCGTGGCGTGTGAGTCGTCGTTCTTCGGGAAGACGCTCTCGAGGTGTGGCGGCATCACGTCCAGGGCCCTCTGGCGTTCTGAGGGAGAGAGAGAGAGAGTGTGAGTGTAAGTATGAATGAGATGGAGGAGGGGGGGGGGGTTGGTGTTATAGGTGCTAGATGCGTTAGAAGTGTAGTTATGGTAACCTCTGGCGTTCTGGGAGAGAGAGAGAGAGAGAGAGAGAGAGAGAGTGTAAGTGTGAGTGAGTGGGGGCGGGAGGGGGGTAGGTGTTATAGGTGTTAGATGCGTGGTTAGATGTGTGGTTAGAAATGTAGTTATGATAACCTCTGACGTTGGGGTGAGAGAGAGAGAGAGAGAGAGAGTGAGAGGGAGTGAGATGGAGGGGGGGTAGGTGTTATAGGTGTTAAGTTCGTGTTAGATGTAAGATGTGTGTTAGAAGTGTGGTTAGAAATGTAGTTATGGTAACTTCTGGCGTTGGGGTGAGAGAGAGAGAGAGAGAGAGAGAGAGAGAGAGAGAGAGAGAGAGAGAGAGAGAGAGAGAGAGAGAGAGAGAGAGAGACAGACAGACAGACAGACAGAGAAATTATCATTCATCTCATTAAACAGATTGATCATTAGTAACCTCATTGCCTGCCAGAATTCAATTAACCCCCCACCCCCCTATCCCCATTCCGCGTTTCTGTTATTCTCACTACTAGAAAACACCTGTCTTTAGAAAGCACATTCCTTTCCCTCCATCTCCCTGTCCTTCTCATTTTAATAGAAATAAAAAGAACAGATGTAATAGAAACTTGTTCTCGTCTCTCGCCTCCGTCTATCTTTCTACTTTTCTATAGTTGCTTTTATTCCACTTTTTTGAAACACGGTTCTCATACCTAATGGGTACCCCTCGCCACCTCACCCACACACACTCTCTCTCTCTTTCTTTCTTTTATTCTCTCTCTCTTTCTTTCTTTCTTTCATTCTCTCTCTCTCTTTCTTTCATTCTCTCTCTCTCTTTCTTTCTTTCTTTCATTCTCTATCTCTCTTTCTTTCTTTCTTTCATTCTCTATCTCTCTTTTTTTCTTTTTTTCATTCTCTCTCTCTCTCTCTCTCTCTTTCTTTCTTTCATTCTCTATCTCTCTATTTTTTCTTTTTTTCATTCTCTCTCTCTCTCTCTCTTTCTTTCTTTCTCTCATTCTCTCTCTCTCTCTCCTTTTCTTTCTTTTTCTTACCTCCCCCTCTCCCATTCTCTCTTCCTGTTTCCTCTTCTCCCTGTTTCCCTCTCTCCCTTCCACTCTTTCTCCAATTCTCTCCCCCTTCCTCTCTTTCTTTTCCTCCCTCCCTCCTTCCCTCTTTTCCTACCCCCCCCCCCTCTCCTGTCTCCTATTCTCTCCCCCTTCCTCTCTTTCTCCAATTCTCTCTCCCTTCCTCTCTTTCTCTTCCTCCCTCCCTCCCTCCTTCCCTCTTTCTCTACACCCACCTCTCCTGTCTCAAATTCTCTCTCCCTTCCTCTCTTTTTCTTCCTCACTCCCTCCCTCCTTCCCTCTTTCTCTACCCTCCCCCCCCCGACTCGAAGCTCTCCGATCAGCACTGCATCGCCGACCAGCATTCAACTGCAGGAACCCCCCTCTCCCCCTCCTCTCCCTCCCTCCTTCCCCCACCCCAACGAACCAAAGGCCTTGCTCTCGCATCTGAAGGCATCCAGCGATTGCTTCGAGAGGCTTCAAGGCTTCGAGGCTTCGAGGCTTCGAGAGGCTTCGAGGCTTCGAGGCTTCGAGGCTTCGAGGCTCTGAGGTCTCCGAAGTCTCATGGATTCCGAAACGCGCGCGGGGTCTCTCTCTCTCCTCTCTCTCTCTCTCTCCCTCTCTCTCTCTCTCTCTCTCTTCCTCTCTCTCTCTCTCTCTCTCTCTCTCTCTCTCTCGGATCTAAGAAAACTCCCGCTATATTGACTCTCTGCTCCCAAAAGCTGACTGGCTGATAGGGATAAAATTATGTGTAAGTTTACCCTTCGGAAGATATTTTTTTTTCTTTTTCTTTTTTGCCCAACTCTATTTTTCCTTCCTTTTTTTTTTTTTTTTTTTTCTTCGCTGACGCGGCTCGTCTCACTCGATATTATTTGGTGGGTGGAGGGTGGAGGGGGGTGGAGGGTGGGGGGGTGGAGAGTGGAGGGAAGTGGAGGGTGGAGAAAGGGGAATGGGAGGGGGAGGGGTGGAGGGAGGAGGGGGAGGGAGGTGGGAGGAGGGGTGGATGAAAGGGAATGGGAGGGGGAGGGGTGGAGGGAGGAGAGAGGAGGGAGGAGGGAGGGGTGGAGGGGGTGGAGGGAGGAGGGAGGAGGGAGGAGGGGGGTGGAGGGGTGGAGGAAGGGGAATGGGAGGGGGAGGGGTGGAGGGAGGAGAAAGGAGAATGGGAGGGAGGGGTGGAGGGAGGAGAGAGGAGGGAGGGGGTGGAGTGGTGGATTAGCTAGGGTGGGTGGAAGGGGGAGGAGGAAGGAAGGGAAGGGGAAAAAAAGATGGAAGTAGAAGGAAAGGGAGAGGCAGGGGGGAAGGGGGGCAGAGGGAGAAGTTCGGGGGGTGGGGGTGGGGGGGCGAGTGGATGAATAGGTGGACGGATAGATGGATGGATAGGTGGATGGATTGCTGGGCGGATGGGAAGCTGGGAGTAGGCCTATGTCTATTGATGTATGTATGTATGTATGTATATGTGTATATATATATATATATATATATATATATATATATATATATATATATATATATATATGTATGTATGTATGTATGTATGTATCTATCTATCTATCTATATATACATATATGCATAGATATACAAATATGTGCATATATATGTGTGTGTGTGTGTTTACATATGAAAATATGTATACATACATATATATGTATATATATATATATAATATATATATATATATATATATATATATATATATATATATGCACATAAGCACACGCAAGCACGGTGCCATCAGAATGTATATGCGTGCAAGAGGCTGTGCTTGTGGCTGAGGAACGCGATGGGCTGAGAGGGAATTGCGGGCGAGGGGGAGAGGGGAGAGGGGGGAGGAGGGGGGTGGGAAGAGGGGAGAGGGGGAAGGGGAGAGGGGGAAGGAGGGGGAGAAGGAGGAGGAGGGAAGGGGGGAGGGGAAGGGGAGAGGGGGAAGGAGGGGGAGAAGGAGAAGGAGGGGGAGAAGGAGGAGGAGGGAAGAGGGAAGAGGAAGGGGTTAGAAGGGGAAAGAGGGGGGAGGAAGAGGGGAGAGGAGAAGGAGGAGGAGGAGGCAGGGAGAGGGAGAGGGAAGGGGAGAGGTGGAAATGAGGGAGAGGGGTGAGGAGGAGAGGGGAGAGAGGAGGAGGGAGAAGGAGAGGGTAAGGGAGAGGAAGAAAGTGAAGGGAGGAAGAGGAAGAAGTGAGAAGAAAAAGGGAGAGGAAGAAAGAAGAGGAAGGGAGAAGGAGAAGAAGAAAGACGAGGAAGAGAAGAGAAAGAGAGGAGAGAGAAGGGAAGAAAAAAAGAGGGGAGAAGAAAGAAAGGGAGAAGAAGGGGAAGAAAGAAAGGAGGAAAGGAAGAAGGAAGAAGGAAGAAGGAAGAAGGAAGAAGGAAGAAGGGAGAAGGAAGAAGGAAGAAGGAAGAAAGGATAGGTCTATTAACAAGAGGATTCCAAAAGGCGAGCTTAAGAATAGGAAGAGGGGGTAGGGGTGGGGGGAGAGGGGGAAGGACCGAGGGGGGGGGAGAGTTAAGCTGAGGAGTTACATGACTTGCCACTCAGGCCTCACACCCCCCCTCCTACCCCTACCCTCTACCCTCATCCCCTGACTCCTACCCCCTCCCCCCCATCCCCCTCCCTTAGCACATAGCCTTAGCTCTATCCTCCTTCTTCTTCCCTTACCCCTCACTCCCCTCCCCCCCAACCCCCCCTTCTACATCTAGGCTACTTCATATCTTTCCCTACCCTCCATCCCTCCCCCCTCCCTCTACCCCTTCCTTCCCTCCCTACTCCCCCCCTACCCTCCCCTACCCTTTCCTACGCTCTTTATCCCCCCCCCCCATACCTTTCCCCTTACCCATTTCCCCTTTGTTACTTTCCCCTGAGTCTCAAGGGGCCTTTCTGTCCATTTCAGGGACATTTTGATAATATCTGTTTTTATTTTATTTATTTATTTATTCTATTATTTTTGGTTTTTTGTTTGATTGTTCATTTTGTATACCCTGTTGTCGTTTCTCTTCCTCCTTCCTTCGTTCCTTTCCTCCCTTCCTGCCCTTCCTCTTTCTCTCCTTCCCTTCCTTACTCTCTCTTTCCCTCTTTCACTTCCTCCTTCCCTCCCTCTCTCCCTCCTTCCTTCCTCCCTGCTTCCCTCTTTCCCTTCCTCCATCCTTTCTTCCCTCCCTCTCTCCCTCCTTCCCTTCCTCCCTCCTTCCTTCCCTTCTTCCCTCCCTCCTTCCTTCCCTTCTTCCCTCCCTTCTTCCCTTCCTCCCTCCCTCCCTTCCTCGTTCCTTCCCTCCCTCCCTCCCTCCCTCCCTCCTTTCCTCCCTCCCTCCTTCCTTCCCCCCCCCCCCCCCTCATATTACATACATCACGTAAGCCATTACATTTATAACGTAACAGAGATTACACGTACATTATACAGTGTAACGGACACAATACAACATTATATATTATATTATATAATGACAAAAAGACTGAAATAAAAAAAAACAGATTATAACAAAATATGAAATACAAAATATGGAATAATATAATAATATTTATAACAAAATATAAAATACAAAATATGAAATTATTTAATAATATTTATAGCAAAATATAAAATACAAAATATGAAATAATATAATAATAATTATAACAAAATATAAAATACAAAATATGAAATTATTTAATAATATTTATAACAAAATATAAAATACAAAATATGAAATAATATAATAATAATTATAACAAAATATATAACAAAACGGAATAGAACAAAATAAATGATAACAGATTTACTTCAAGATTCATTGTTTCTAAAATCCATTAACATTGATAAAGAATAACAGACAAAGAGGAAATTAAACGCAAAACACAAAACAAAATTATTTTGAGTCGGATTAGACTCACACACACACGCACACAAACACACACACACACACACACACACACACACACACACACACACACAAAGAAAAACGCACACACACAGGATGAGAGAATGGGAGAAAGGGGAGGTAAGAAAAAGAAAAAAAAAGGAGAAAGAGGGAGAAGGAGAGAGAAAGTGAGAAAAAAGAGATAGAAAAAGCGAAAGAAGGTGTGGCAGGGGAAAAAATAATGAGAAAGATAGAAGAAGAAAGAGGGAGGGAATGAACGAAGAGAGAGAGAGTGAGGGATAGGAAAAAAAGAGAGGAAATGAGAGAGAGGAAGAAAGAGCGAGAGGGAGAGAAAAGGAGCGAGAAGGAAAGCAGGGGATAAACAGAAAGAAAGAGAGAAAGAGAGAGAGAGAGAGAGAGAGAGAGAGAGAGAGAGAGAGAGAGAGATAGAGAGAGAGAGAGAGAGAGAGAGAGAGAGAGAGAGAGAGAGAGAGAGAGAGAGAGAGAGAGAGACAGAGAGAGAGAGAGAGAGAAAGAGAGAGAGAGAGAGAGAGAGAGAGAGAGAGAGAGAGAGAGAGAGAGAGAGAGAGAGAGAAAGAGAAATGAAAAATAAGACAAATGATGCAAGTTTTGATCGCCTTCTCGTCAGATCCGATCTTCTCCGATGACACGAAAGGGGGGGGGGGGGGCAACAAAACCTTTTCTTGGAACACAATGACAGTCTTTTTTTTTTTTTTTTTTTTTTTTTTCTTCAATTCTTCCTCTGATTTATATCATGTCTGGAACTGGGTAAAAAAAAATGTTCATTTTATTGCTCAGTATATTTTACGCGCAAAAGAAGAAGAATAAGGAGAAGAAGAAGACGAAGAAGAAGAAGAAGAAGAAGGAGAAGATGAAGAAGAAGAACAAGAAGAAAAAGAAGGAAAAGAAAATTAGGACTATGAAATGCAGCAAAAAATAAAATGAAAATAATAATAATAATAACAATAATAATGATAATAATAATGATAATAATAATGATAATAATAATAATAATAAATACAATTGAATTATACTAAAAAACACCATGATGTTTTGAATTTGATTTTTCTAAAGCTCAAACTCATAACAAAAGAGAAAAAAGTTTAATATCTTCAGTACAGTCTTGAAATATACATCTCACCGAACACAGCTTTCAAAACACCATAATAACATAAATACAATAAAGAAAACAATTAATTATCTTCAGTAAACCCTGAGGCACGAAATCCCATACACTGTAGCTAATGATACTGACGCATACTGATGCATATTAATGAAATAATAAAGATAAATTGAAATTGTCTACATCACTTGAATTTTGGTTCCGTATGTTTGTAATATGACTTTTCTTAGCAACCTTCTCCCTTCTCTTCTCTTCTGCCTGGTTTTCTTTTTCTTTTTATTCGTTATTCTACTCTGTTTCTCTTTTCTTGCCTCTTCTCTCCTTTTTTTTTTGCCTATTTTCTTATCTTTCGTATTTGAGATTCATGTTCTCTCATTTTTTTCTATATATTCCTAAATCTTCTGTCTGTTTCCTTCTTCCCTTTCTTATTTCCTCTTCTCCTTTATCTTGTCCTTTCCTTTTCTTTTTATGTCCTTTATCTCTATTCTTTGTTCTCATCTTATCTCTTCTTCCCTTTCATTCCTTACTTATATTTTTCTTCCCTTATCTTCTCTCCTCTCCTCTCCTCTCCTCCTTCTCTCCTTCTCCTCCTTCTCTCCTTCTCCTCCTCCTCTCCTTCTCCTCCCTTCCCATCCCTATCTCCTCACCCCATCCCTCCCTCCCTCCTTCCCCCCACCCCCACCCAACCCCCTACCATCATAACGAGA